GCCTTTTTGTAAAGTGTTTCCATATGAAGCTGAAATTTCTGTAAATTGTGATGGAATTTTGATGGGGATTGCATTGAACTGGTAAGTTGCTTCTGGTAGAATGGCCATTTTTCACAGTATTAATCCTACCAATCCAAGAACATGGGTGATCTTTCTATCTTTAGGCATCCCCTTTAGTTTATTTCTTCAGTGTCTTAAAGTTTTTTATTATGCAAATCTTTCACTAGATTGGTTAGAGTTATCTCAGAATAAGTTTTGAGGCTATTATGAAAGGCACTGTTTTCCTGAGTTCTTTCTCGGTATGTTTGTCATTTGTATATAGGAAGGCCACTAATTCCTGTTAATTTTGTAAACTTGCTACTTTGTTGGAAATATTTAACAGATGTATCAGTTTCTTGGTGGGAACTTTAAGGATTTTTTTGTGTATAAAATTATACTATCTAAAAATAAAGCTAGTCAGACTTCTTGATTAAGTATTTATATCGCCTTGATATCCTTCATTTATCTTATTGCTGTAGCTGAGACATTAAGTATGATATCAATAGGAACAGGAGAGTGGAAATCCAATCTGTTAGTCTGTGTCTTTTTATTAGAGAAATAATATGAGGATTATCGATAAACAGTATTGATTTTATACTTTTTGTTACATTGTGGGCTTCACCTCCCCATTTTGATTTGCTGCTCAGGAATTATTTATACCTGGTGTCTTTTTGGGTGTGGTCAGCTTCTTCAGACCCAAGTTTTCTTTTAGTTCCTTTTATAGCTGAATTGGTAAATAGAAATTGCTTTTGGTTTTATTATGGAATATTTTTCCTCTTCTGTTGGTTATGATTGATAGTTTTGCTGGGTATAGTAGTCTGGGCTGGCATCTGTGGACTGTAGAACTGAGTCTGTAGAACATCTGTCATGGCCCTTCTGAGTTTCAGAGCCTCCATTAGAGAGTCAGATGCTATTCTAATGTGCCTGTCTTTATATGTGACTCAGCTTGTTTCCAATGCAACTTTTAATACATTTTTTGTCTTTTACATTTACATTTGATTATCATGTGTTATGGGGAATTTCTTTTCTGGTCCTGTCTATTCAGTGTTCTATCCCTACTTACCCATACTATGTGTAGATTTGATTTTTTTATAGCATCCAAGATCTCCTGAAATGTTTGTATCTGGGATTTTTCTTTTCTTTTTGTTTGTTTTTTTGGTTGCTTTTGATTCAGTGTTTTCTTTGACTGAGTTAACCGTTTCTTCTATTTTGCCTTTAAGACCTGAAATTCTCTTTCACACATTGCAATCTGTTAGTGGGGCTTACCACTGAGGTCTTTGCTAAGAGTCAGAGTCCCCAGGGAATGGAGGCGGGTAGGGAGGGAGGGCTTCTGCCCACTGGTTACTAAAGAACTAAGAGTAATTCAGGAGAGACTAGAATTGGGGACAGGAATGATAGTAAAAATCTCCTACCTGTGTCCCCACCCAGTGTGGCTCCTGGGGATCCCTGGTAGAGAATGTTTCTGCAGATCAGCAGCTGACACAAAGAAATGGATGCGAACTAAAAGGAACGACCGAGAAGGGTGGAGGGAGATAGCTAGGGGAACCCTTGGGTCTCTACCAAGGGGTGGGGGGAGATGTGATGAGAGGTGGGCCTTCTGCAGGCAGGCTGTAGGAGGAGGAGGAGTCAGGTAACCCTAACCCCATTTTATGGGTGAAGAAATCGGAGCATGAAGAAGTCAGAAGTTTTGCTCAAGTCTCACTGCTGAGGAGGGAATCAAACAGTTTGTTTTGTGAGACTGTCACCGTGTGAGCTCGCAACAAAAAATATGCATCTGGTTTGGGACAACCTTGTAGCTAACTCTACTATCAACTGCATTTTTACCACTCACTGGTCCAGACGAGATCAACTTTAATCTCCAAACCTGACTTCCTGCATAGCTCTGCAACTTCGCAGAGATGTAAGCTCCATGCAGCATTTCTGAGCGGTTTCATTTCCATACTGTCTTGATAATCACCTATGTGCGGGTCCAGTCCCTTCTGCTTCGTGTAGCCTTCTCTTAGGTGTACAGTACTGCTATGACCTCTGTGAGCCATGGAATGTTCATTGTAGTACGAGATTACTTCCTCCTACCAAAAACCAGAGCGAGGATACAACATCCCAGTGGCAAAGCAGAGGCCCGTCAGAGAGCAAAGGTCAAAAGAAGTCTTGGAGTCATTGTAAGGACTGAAGGGAAGAAGACACAGGGGGGCCTTTATTTGATACTAGTCTGGCGCTCCCCCTCCCCCAATGACATCACAGCACTTTGGCTACGTCATCATCATTAATCAATTGATCATCACCATCATCCAAACATGCATGCAATAGTTTGAAGAATGCTCCTAAACTGTTGTTTTCCATTATGTTTATACGTTACCTAAAACTTGGTTGTGATTTTTAACCATATTAGTTGACACTGGATCCCTTTCGAGTTACATCTTACTAGTTACTAGTTGCAACTGTTTGTTGTGAGTGACCTGCTCCTGTTTTGCAACTCTACCTACAGGACTTTGGGAAAGTGATCTATCCTTTCCTGATGAAGATTCCAATATTCTTCACAATACCATCCTGGGGATAAACTATGATAGTGTAAGACACCTAGCACAGCTTCTCAAATGCGTAAAGATGAACAAATACAAGCAATGATTCATCCCCCAGGTTGGCCAAAGCTGGCTGTGGTTTGGCGTGGCTGACATAGGAGGCAGGATACTGGCAGTGGAGAAGATATAGTGGTGGGGTAGTTAGCTAAGTGGTGACCAGAACAGGATGTCGTGTGTTTACCCAGAGAACAGACTTTATCCTGTGGGTCAGGTTCTAAAGCCGTCTATCTGTATCGGTAGGATATGGTCCAAGATGTCCCCATATATAACACTATTTCCTGTTTAACTTAACAGCCCATAGCAATCTGTGCACTGTCCTACACCATGTCTGGTGGCAGGAAGGCGGTCTTTAAAGGTTCCATCTTGAAATGGAAGACATTTACAAATAGTTCCCACATGCGGGTATACTAACCCCTTGAGATGCCTTCATTCAAGTATCATGGTGCCTTTGAGATGAGGAATGCTTCTAGAGTCACATATACATCCATGCCAATACATTGGAAGTTTATATGTTGTGTTAGGGTTTTAAAGGCATCTCAGTCTTTGCAAAACATATTCACACAAAGAAGCAACGGGAGAATGAAATGGACATGTGTTTTGGTAATACTGAATACAGGCTGTAACTAATTAAGAGCCTGAAGGGTAAGAATTTTTCCTGTATTTGGGACAGGTGCCTACAACTGATGAGTGAGTAAATGGCCAGGAAACACTCTGTATCTTCTCTCAGGTCTTTCTTCATGCCCTGAATGAGGCTATAGTCACCATCACTGTTCGGAGGCAAGCATCCTTGAAGTAGCTAGCAGGTTTCCTCTGGGTGGAAATGGAGGCAGGTGGTAGGAAAGGGCAGGGTCCCCTAGGGAAGTTGATGGGGCAAGGTGGTTTTCCTTTAAGCATTATTCTCATGAGGTTTTTAAGCATTTTTTTCTTAAAAAAAGAAACATTCTTTCCAAGAAATAGCTCAATATATTTTTTGGGAAAAAACAGTTCACATACATTTTTATTTTTTTATTTCTTGTGGTGTTGGGATTTGAACTCATGTTTTGGGGAAGGTGGGCAAGCGTTTTGCCACTGAGCTCTTTCTCTGCCTTCATTTTTCTCTTTATTGCCAGAAGTTTGTTAAAATGAAAAATTACAAAAACCAAATCAGTCCCCCACAAACAAATGTTCAGAAACTGGCAAGAAAACCAAAGGAATTTGAAAATGAAACCAGAACAAATGTTTGAAAACCATGTCTGCCAGGACAGGACACATGGAGCTATTCGAGAACCCAGAAGTATCATCTTGGTGTTTATTGTGCAATATCCATGGCCCCAAATTTGCAGTTTGTAATTTTCTGTAAATGTCACAGGAAGTCTGTTAAACCAGGATGCTGCTCAAAAGATTATATCTTTTGTAGATTTCTAAATCTTATGATCTTAAATGATATGATGCATGTGGGTTATAGTCACAAGGCTTTAGATTTCCCATTATTTGTAGTCATACTACATTTTACTTAGTTTTTGTTAAAACAACTGAGAATTTAAAAGTGTAATCTTTTAGTTGAAAGCACACTTCCACAGCAGTGGCGAGCATGAGCTGTGTAGACTGCTCTGATGGAGATTTGGAGAGAGTACCAAGATGGGAAATCGTGCTATTTACGATATTTCTGCCCCACACCCAGAAGGGAATAAAGGAAAAAGAGGCAAGGGAAGACCCGGTGGTGAAAGATTCTTCAGTTTCACTAGATGCATAAACTTCCAAGTGGGAGTCTCGAATCATGTCTGCTGTTTCAGCCTTGCAAAAGTAAAGCAATGTACAATAGGACATGGCAAACTTTTCCTGCAAAGTTCCCACAGTAAAAGCTTAGTGTTTATCACCGTTACTCAGCTTTGCCACTGGAGCATGAGAGCAGTCATGACTGCGGAGCTACAGAAGGACACATTTTCCTAGGCACGTGATGGTCACAGGAACTTAAGAGTTCGCACAACCTTCACATCATGAAATACTGCGCTGGTTAAAAACACTTAGAGATGCCAAACCCACTTTTAACTCTTGAGTCCAACAAAAATGGCTGCAGGCAAGACCTGGCCAGGGAGGGTTTGTCGCTAGCCAGCCCAGAACACTGGAGTGGCTAGGCGACTCTGCTCAGGGTTTCTCTATATTCCTTATCAGACTTAATTTCATGTAGCTTCTGTGCCTTTTGTAGGTTTCTGTTAATGGAGGAGCATTACAAGTGATTGACACCCAGAGAAAATGGTTCTTTTAATATCTCATCTTATCTAGGCAATTTTTAAAAAAGGCTTATTTCTTAAATACTTAGGACATTGCAGTTTGAGACTACAAAGCTAGATTGGTATGTTTCAAGACCTTCTACCATTAACTAATCAATGAAAATAGAAAAAATTTAGGGCATTGTACATTTCTTTTTTAATAAACCACAAGGCAAAACAACACTTTATTTAATAATCATCTAGGAAATTTCATTTGAAAATGACAAATACAATACATATACAAAGAATCTGATCTTCGTTACACAGATAAACCCCAGCTTCAAAATCTTTCTAAAATCAATCATATGCAAAATACTTGGTTTTTTGGAGGGGAGTAGAGGAAAGTATATACAATTTCTTAAACCGCGATATGGCTTATTTAATCATATATTTATTTAGAGAGGCAGACACTTTCCAAATACAAGGTATCTTCTAGGTAGAAAAGGGACACACTGGCACATTTCAACTTTGTGCTGCATTTATTTCAGAAGATTCTTGATGGCACTATTTAAATTGACACTGTCATGGATTTAGCTGTCAAAGTCTCCAAACACACTTACCAATTTTAACAAAAATCAGAAAATAACTGTTGGTTCCTAACAAACCTTTTGTAACCAAGAACTCAATGACTCGCTTGCCTAAATGGAGACATATAATACTGAAGATTTCCCACAATTTCTTCTTTCCAGTTTGTATGCTCCCACTAACATCACAAACAATATATTTAATTGTAAAACTAAATTTGAAACCCTGGCCTGCAGGATCCATCTGACAGACCTGGTATTGGAGTTAGTTTGCAAATGGTGCTCTCGCTACTGAGATGTCAGGCCAACCACCTGGAGGTAAGACTTGTTTCCCCTAAGCCCAGTATCTAGTGAGATGTCACTGTTCATTTATAACTAAGACTGGATGAACTGATCTTGTATATAGGGACACATTCTATAACTTTCATCTTAGTCCATACAAGGTAGTCAGCCATAAAAAACACCTACAAGTGTACTTTAAAGGGGTTTAGATTCAGTAGGAGCATCTTATGGTGGGTGAACCAATGATCACAAACACAGAAAGCCAAATGCTGCAGGATCAAAGTCTCCAAGAGTGCTGACTGGCTTTTGAGAAACCCAAAGCCCTTCACAGTGGCCACTCAGTCTATTTCTGTCTCATATGCTCTACTAAGTACAGTGTGCAGAAATCTGGGCAGGGGATGATTTGAGGTTTTAAAGACCTTTCTTGCCTGGAAAGATCTTTCTAAGCACTGCCTCAAAGTTCTCTCTGAAAAATGAGAGAGAAGCTGTGCATCTATCTGATCTTGACTATGTCCACTCTGGGAAGGATTGCCTAAAGACAAATACTGACAGGTGGGCCATCTGGGCTGAAGACAGGCCACCGAGAGTCTTATAATCAAGAAATACTTCAGAGAGAAGAAATAAGGCCCTTACCCCAAACTGAAAAGAAACACAGGAACCTAAGAAATTTAGAGATCTGGCAAACAATGCTGATGGGAGCTGTGGAAATCTCTGATCACATAGAGACTTGTAAGTGTGGAAAGCACACAGCTGTGTGCCAGAATCACAATAGCTCTGGGTTCTAAATCTCTCTGCTCTCTATCTTCTGGACCAGCAAAGTACAAAGTCTAGCTCTTGCTGCAAAAGTAAAGCACAGAAATTTTGGGTACATCTGCTTTAAGCAGAATATGATAGTTAAGATTTGCAAACGTTTTTCAGTGTTTCATAAAAACAACCCTTTTCAATATTCAAATTGATTTTTATGCTGTTTTATCAAAAAAACTTAAGAACCAAAAATCTAGATATGCCCACATTGTGATAAAGAATGCTTACAAGAAATAAACTTAACTGACATGGGAAAATAATAAGTATAAAATGTACAGTTTCCCTTCTTTCCTAGATACCTAAAGGCCACAACTGCCCAGGCAGCCACTTAAATGCCTGTCACCTATTCATATGGTTATCATTGTCTTATTTAGTTTGCATTCTAAAAGTTTTGAAATCCAAACATTTATAATCTTAAATGTACTCACAATACAATTCAACAAAGTAAACTTTCTTTTTTTTTCAAAGCAAACTTTGAACTCAATAAATACATCAGTTGTTTCTTTGATACTATCAATTCCCTTAGGGGTAATCTAGATTTTCTTATTTTAGCTTTCCACATAGGGAAAGTCTGCAGTATGAAGGTAACACCTATTTCCCACTCTCCATTTACACATCATTGGGTTTCTAGGATTTTAATTTACAACTTGCTTGGGACATTGTTACTCCACTCTGATTCACTGAGGAGCCAAGAGTCATATAAAGTGTCTATGCTGAAAAGAGATAATCTTGGGGCTGGAGAGATGGCTCAGAGGTTAAGAGTACTGGCTGCTCTTCCAGAGGTCCTGAGTTCAATTCCCAGCAACCACATGGTGGCTCACAACCATCTGTAATGAGATCTGATGCCCTCTTCTGGCCATGCAGACAGAGCAGTGATAAAAAAGATACATAAATAAATTAAAAAAAAAAAAGAAAAAAAGAAAAGAGATAATCTCAAAATAACTGTTGAATATTCAGATATGAATATTCATGACCGTCTCTTTAACAAACTTCTGCCAATTATATTCCTTTAGCTTGGAAATATTTATGCCACTTCCCTAGATATAACTTTAATGGCCATCCTCACTTCAATTCTTTTGTGCACATAGTTAAAAAAACAAAACAAAACCCTTCACCTCTTGTTTTCTCAAAGTACTTTTTCCACCCAACCCTCTGTATCTTTCTGCTATGGCATTATTGTGAAACTTCAAGATCGTACTTTGAGGATTTCTGTCATGCATGGAGAACCCCATAACCCATATCATAAAACAGAAATTCTCTCTGGAGTAACAGGGTACTCTGCATGGTAGGTATTAATAAACTCAGGTACCTCTCTAGGAACCTGAAAGAGGCATACAGATTACACACAAGAACAGGGCACCAAGGAAACTGGTACTAACAAGTGTTGGCAGTTCTTTAAAGGACAGTGGATAACTGTTGAAGCTTTGTCGTCTCTTCCTGTCTTAAGACAGTTCTACATAAAGCACAAAGGTGACTTTCAGGGAAGACAGAAATCCAAACTTCACACACCACTGCTTGCTCCTCTGTTTTAGATCATCATATGGTAAGGTGATTTGAGGTTAAATCTAATCTCTGCCATTCAGAGCGATATTAAAAATTTCCTAAATAACTTAATGACAGTGACCACATTATGCGAATATTTCTGATAAGATTACAAATAATCAAAACACTGACATTCAAAACCAGTAGTATCTGGAAAATTTGCTTATAAAGTATGACTCTAATAATAATATTAAGAGTTATTTATGAAATAAAACAGTTCTGAAACACTTAGGAACACATGCTTATTCCATTTTCTGGATATTATTACTTTCTGAAATCTGTTGGGGGCTAATTTTTATAAAAAGAGAACACAATTCCAGAAACTAGATGCCAAGATTATACAGAGGCAAAAATCCCAAATAATTCAACACTGAGTTTGCTAGCACTGACTTCATATAAAAGGACTGTAAAAAGTAGTTTTAGATGCAAATACTGAATTCTGAGTCTTCCTGTATGTCTTGTGTATTTTGTCAAATTAGTGAAGTATGGTCTTGGATTGTCTTCTATGAGGTATCTGCAGAGTTACAGCTCACTCTGTAAACAGTACTTTGGAAACTTCATATGAAAATCAGGCAGCTATCAGTCAGACCCGAGTGACTGTGAGAGATCGTGCTTGACAGGGACACAGTTGTCAGGACTCCGTTAGGTTTGCGTTTATTGCTCTCAGGTCTGTGACTGCTGGATAAATAAGGCTGTAGACCCCAAGTACATAGAATCAGGTACTGGAACTCTGACAATTTGCACAAGTTCTGTTCATCTCTTGTCTGTAACTCTGGAGTTGAATAGTGCATTTATACATGCCAAATGTATTCAGTAATAAATGCTTAGCTTTGGACTGCACTTCTTCCCATTTAGATGAACTTCCAGGAACTGCAATAGCAAAAAAAACATCACATTATCTATTGTACACTGCTATATATTAGTAAAGGAGACACAGAGAAGAAACAATAGTACACTATGACTGTATGTGCATCAGTCTGACTATCCCTTCTAGGTCCTTCTTCTGTAGAAGACAGTGTGTAAGCCCAGAATGGCTTCTCATGACATCAGTCTTTACAGGCTCAGTAGAGAGAATTCTGGATACAAGCCTCTTGTTTAAGGACCTTCTACTCCTTAAGAAAGAGCCAAAAGCAAATATTATTTTGATTTTTAAAAGCCATCAGTCTCGGAAATGATTTAAACAAGACTCTGCCTTTTTATTATATAAAAGACGGCACAGCAAAAGTATGTAATCAGGCAGATACCAATTTGCAATTATCTTTCTCAAAGTACAAAAAATTAAATGTTATTTATTTCTTTGGAGATCTGGGAATTGAACATAGGGCCTCATGCATGGTATGGCAAGTGCTCTACCAGCCTTTGTTATCCTTTGGACCTGCAATTATCTTCTGAAGAATCTCACCCTCCCTTAAGTCTTTTTTTTTGTCAGAAGTGTCTTCATACATATAATAAGCTTAGATGTCGGCTCCAAAAACAGACACCTGTGAACCCCATTAGCAACATACTTAGCTGCATGTGAACTATGGCAGTGGATTTTCCCGAAGTGAGAGACCAGATATTCAAATCTTCCACAGAATATACATCTTCTATTTTCATCAATGACTCTTTGATATAATCTACATTCAAGTGGCTTGGTACACCTATTAGTTTGAAACATATACCTTGTAAGTTTACTTTGGCAGGAAAAGTTTTAGATTACATTTAAAGAAAACAAATGGTTTTGCTAAATTCAGTTCCAATGGATTTGTTAAACTATGTTTATATTTTAAGATAAATTATAGACATCCCTATAAAATATAGGAAATATACAAGAGATCAATAAATGCTTTAAAAATGTCAATTCTAACTAAAATGGAGTGGCAATGAAATTAGAACATGTAACATTAATAAGTTAGGCAAGAAAAATTTTTTTTCAACATGGTTTCACTATATTGCCCTGGCTGGCCTGGACTTCCCCCTATCTAGATCAGGTTGATGCTGAACTCACAGAGACCCATTTGCCTCTGAGTCCTGAATGCTGGAATTATAGGCACATGCCACTATGCCCAGCTTAGAAACATTTGATAAAGGTAAGTTATTGCTGAGAACTTCTGTCTTCATGCTTAGAAATGCTTTCAGGAAAACAAGGATGTCAAAAACATAACAAAGTACACATTAAATGAGATGAAGGAATTAAATAAACTAGAAGGTATAAATGCATGAAGAATCAGAACCAAAAGCTGTACTATTATCCTAGCTTCACAGTTTATTAGTGGCATGACACTGACTGTCAAGCATTTTCTTGTTTGTAAATGTCAAGTGCACAACCCAGGGATGGCACTGATTCTTGTCTGCTATGTACAAAAGCATATCAGTAGAAGGCAAGTCATGGCTTCTGTCCAGAACAATCCTGACTTGGTCTCCACTAGGGAGGGCTAAACCCACATTGGGGCATTAAAGAGCGCTTACCTTCCAGTATTATCACTACAGTGTCCCATATGATGCGAAATGTTGTGAAAGCCACAAGTAATGAAAATACATATGTACAGATAGGGTCAGCAATCTTGTACTCTGGCTAAAAGGCAAACAGATGAAAGTTGTGTGACTCAACAGAGACTGACATTATAACACACTATAAGTAAGCATGGCGCACATCCCTTGCTCTTTTTCTTTCTTTAACAGCATTGGAAAATACTTTTAAAACTTGGATATTGTAATTGAGGAACATCCTCACTCTTAAGATGTGTCTTTTCTGGGAATTTGGTCATTATGTCTACTCTCTCTGTGTCTTCTCTCAATCCTTTACTCAGAAGTAAAAGAGGTTGGAAAGAATTCTATCCGTCATCTGGACTAAAATAATCATTGAAGAGGGCTGAATTAAAATTTAGAGTTGCTGCAAAGATGAGAACCTCAGCATACAGCCTATCGTGCAGTGGTTTGGTGACAAGGTTGAACACTGAGTTTTATAGTGAAGGTGCTATCAAAGCCAGCTACAGGTAAATCAGCTAGTAAGGTGACAGACATCATTGTGCTTACTGATAATAAGTAACTATACTTATGGCCAATTAAAATTAATAGAAAGGCATTAGTGTCCAGTACATTGATAAAAGACAACTAGCTTTTTAAATAACCATTAAATACTTTTGAAGTAGGAAGTAAACTATTTTACCTTGAATCGTATGATGTATGCAGCTATAAGCACACCAACACTCTGTACCAAATCACCCAGGGCATGTACAAATGCAGCTCTCACTGCCAAGCTGTCCTGCCCATGGCTGTGTCCACTAGATACCATGGTGGGAGAATTTGAAGGCAGGGAGTGGGAATGGGAGTGGGAATGGTGGTGACCGGACTGGTTCAACAGAAATCCCATTCTGTTAAAATGAAAGAGAACATATTATTTCTCTAAAATTACTGATGAAATATTTATTACTGCTCAGTAGACAGTAATGGAGCAATACAGATCAGTCATTTAATAAGGATGAAAGCAACTGTTACACAGCAAATATTGTTTTGATGGGTCATCAGAAGTGTAAGCAAATACTCATTGTCACACAGCCAGTTAATGTGAAATGCTTTAGAGATGTATACAGTTTTGTAGAAGAATAGAATGGGGAAGGTGGGTGGGATGGGCATAGAAGAGCTCTCTCAGACTCCATTTGAGCAGAGACTCACAGAAGTCAAGAGCAGATGGCGGAGGCGTATTCTAGGAAGAACAGTAGGCAAAGGCTTATAATGAAAACACGCTCATGCACTTGAACAAGGATGACAATGTGGCTAAAATACAGGAAGTAAGAAGTGATAAGAGGCAAGAAGGAGGGCTACATAGGGTTTCATTTTATTTTAAAAACCTCTAGTTTTTATTCTGACTTTGAATAGAAGCCATTAGACAGTGATCTGTAAACTACAGCCACTAGACCGGATTTGGCTATTTTTTAAAGATGAAGTTTTTAGAACACAGGCATACATATTTGTTCACACAATGAATATGGCTGTTTTTGTTAACGTCAGAAATCCATTATTTCACATGAAACTGTATAACTCTCAAAGACTCACTATCTAGTCTTTTGTTGTTTTAGAAGTATGGGAATCAAGCCAGGGCTTTATGCATGCTACGAAGTGCTCTGTTACTAAGCTCCACCCATAACCTTCATCTATTCTTTAAAGAATGTCTGCTAACTTCTGCTCTAAATGGTTAAGTATATAACCTATTTCAGTAGTTTTGAGAAGGAAAAACAAATTTAACAACTAGCTAACAGACTGGTGAGGTGCTCAGCAGGTAAAGGTACTCACTGCCTAAGGTCTCACAGCCTGAGTGTGAGTCCTGGAACCCACATGGTCAAAGGAGAGAAATGACTCCCGTAAGTTGTCCTCTGACCTCCATGCGTGCATAATAGCATGTACACACACACACACACACACACACACACACACACACACACACACACTAAACGTAAAAAAACTCTTAAAATGTAGCTAACACAAGATTATTAAATATTAAACAACATACTTGGTTCTACTTAACTTCCTTAGTGTTAAAGCTGTGGGCAAATTAATGAATTTATAATGCTCCATTTAATTATACTTACAAGTAAAACTGATGTACCATATTTTTAAGTATGAAAATATTTTATAGTCTGAATACATGAATGTGCAACAGTCTTTTAGCTTATAGCATATGAAAAAAATATTGTGCTTACATTACATTAACTGCAACTCCAACAGCTGCAGTGATGAGCATGATATCACCATTTATTTCATAGTTCATATGGATCGTTCTCTGCACAGCTTCATATAAGAGGAATCCCATAAGTACATACACCAACATCACACTGATCATAGCTGACAAAACCTCTAGAAGGGAAGATGGAAAACACATGTATCTTTAGCACAGTTACTACACTTCATACCAACTAAACAGTGTTTAGTTTTTTACTTATATTTTCTTTCCTCTGAGGAGGTAAAATCAGTGTTATTTTTGTTATACAACATTTTTCTTAAGTATTTTACAGACTGAATGATCTACATCCTTAACTAATTCATCCCCATCCTCTATTCAAGTCTCAAATTATGTATATTTACAGGCTATTCACAAGGTAAAAGTGATAAAGAAAGAAATGGAAACATGACCACAGACTACTTTTCTAACAAAGTAAGTACACTTAAAAGTATAACGACAGGCTTGTGATGTAGCTCAGCATGCATAAAGCCTTGGGTGATATCTAGCTTAATTCAAGTCTGGTAGTACATTTGTAATCCCATCACTCATGAGGTAAGGTCAAACAGATCAGAAATTCACAGTCATCACCCTCAGTTATACCGAGTTTGAAGCAAGCCTGGAATATAGGAGATATGGTCTTAACAACACAACAACAAAATAAATAACCTATAAGAAAAATGGGTAAGGAAAAGAATTTTAAAAAAGAGGTAAGGAAGTAAAGAGTAATTTGTCATAGAAAGAAATGAAAAAATTCTCAATAACAAATGTAATAAAAGAAAATTGTATTTTATTACTTTGTATGGGTGTTTTGCTTGTATGAATGTCTGTGTACCATGGGCATGCGTGGTGCCTAGAAGAGGACAAGGGATCCTGTGACTGGAGTTACAGACAGCTGTGAGCTGTCATGTGGGTGCTTGGGTTCTCTGGAAGAGCAGCCAGTGCTCTTAACCACTTAGCCATCTCTCTAGCCCCTCAAAATTCTTAAATCCCAAGTTTTATTAGCTCTCAGAGTAAAGAGACATGCCCACATAAAATAAATTCAGACATTTAAAAACAACACACAAGGCTGTGGTCCGATCTCCCTTTCTGCACATAAACTACTGATGTAGCTCACTGTAAACAAAGAAAACCCAGAATGAGTTCATGCCATCCACAGCTTTACATGAAAGAAAAGAAAAACTGTAGCAATTTAAGAGACTGTGGTGACAGCTCTAAGAGAAGAGGGAGACTAGCTCTCAAGAGACTGCAGTGACAGCTCTAAGAGAAGAGGGTGACTAGCTCTCAAGCTCATTTGCTTGGCCCTCAGCAGTTCTTATCTACTAACAAGCACAAATTCTGTTTTATCTCAGAATGAGGATTCTCAACAAATTATGATAAAAATTAGGAAACCATTTTCAAGACTGGATATTTCAAAGAGTTATACTGGCCTTTATGCTTACCTGCATACCTGCTACACAGAAGCCTTGAATTCATTATAACTGTTTTTCAGAGAAGAAGTGAAGTTGATTAAATGAAGAATGATGATTCCTTTAAGTGCTAGGCATTTCCTGAGTGCTTCCCAAAGAGGAATACACTTACTGCCCACAATAACTCTATGTGGGAGATGCCTGCCATTGCACTTACACCCATCATGAGACCCATCAGAGTATTGGACCTGCTTGCACTCAAACGGTAGGGAATCTTGAACTCCCACCCACCAGGAGAGGAAGAGACCCCCACCTGCACCCACTGGAAAAAGGGATGGGAGGACAACAATATAAGAATTCATTCAACAACTGAAAAACCAATATGAGGCCACCAGAGTCTAGGGACACTACACCAGCAAGACCTGAACACAGATGAAGCAAAAGAGAACAGTCTTAAAAAAAACTTCATGAAGATGATAGAGACCCTAAAAGAGGAACTGAGAAATCCTTTAGAGAAATGGAAGAAAAAAACAAACAAAACATTCAAGAAATGGAGGAAAAGACAAACCAAAAATTGCAAAAATTGCAAGAAACAATTCAAACAGTGCAAGCTGAGACAGTGCTGGAATTAGAAAAGCTGGGTAAGCCATCAGGAAGTACAGATGCAAGCATAACCAACAGAATACAAGAGATGGAACAAAGAAACTGAGGTGTTGAAGATACACTAGGAGAAGTAGATTCATTGACCAAAGAAAATCTTAAGTCCAACAAATTCATAACACAAAATATCCAGGAAATATGGGACACTGTGAAAAGACTAAACTTAAGAATAAATGGTATAGAAGGTGAAGAAACCCACCTCAAAGATGCAGAAAAAATATTCAACAAAATATTCATAGAAGAAAACTTTCCCAATCTAAAGAAAGGCATGCCAATGAAAGTACAAGAAGCTTATAGAACACCAAATAGAGTGGACCACAAAAAAGTACCCTCACCACATAACAATCAAAACACCAAACATACAGAATGAAGAAAGAATATTAAGAGTAGCAAAGGAAAAAGGGCAAGTAACATATAAAGGCAAACCTATCAGAATTACACCTGACTTCTTCATGGAAACTCTGAAAGCCAGAAGGTCCTGGATAGCTAGTCTACAAACACTAAAAGACCACGGATGCCAGCCCAGACTACTATACCCAGCAAAGCTATAGATGGAAAAAATATTCCATGACAAAATCAGATTTAAACAATACACATCCACTAATCCAGCCCTACAGAAAGTACTGGAAGGAAAACTCAACCTAAGGAAGTTAACTACACTCACAAAAATATAGGCAATAGATAATCCAACTTTACCAAAAGCCAAAAGAAAAAGTAGGGTAAATCCACACACAATACCACCACCAGCAACAAATCCAAAACAAACAAAAATTAACAATAGTTTTCAATTTCCCTCAATATTAATGGTCTTAACTCACCTATAAAAAGACACAGGCTAACAGAATGGATATGAAGACTGAATCCATCCTTCTGCTGCAAAGGAGAAACACACTTCAACCTCAAAGACAGATGTTACCTCAGAGTAAAGGATTGGGAAAAAAATTTCCAATCAAATGGACCCAAGAAACAAGTTGGTGCAGCTATCCTAATATCTAGCAAATTAGACTTCAAACTAAAATCAATCAAAAGAGATGAAGAAGGTCATTTTAGATTCATCACAGGAAAAATCCACCAGCATGAAGTCTCAATTCTGAACATCTATGCTCCAAATAGAAAGGCATGCACGTTTGTAAAAAACATTACTAAAACCCGAAGCACACATAAAACCTCACACACTTATAGTGGGAGACGTCAACACCCCACTCTCACCACTAGATAGGACCACCAGACAAAAACTTAACAAAGAAACAAAAGAAATAGCAGAAGTTATGACCCAGTTGGGTTTAACAGACATCTATAAAACATTCAATCAAAACACAAAAGAATATATTCTTTCTTCTCAGTGCCACATGGAACCGTCTTTAAAATCGACCACATACTGGGCAACATAGCAAACCTTAACAGATACAAAAAAATTGGAATAATCCCCTGTATTGGTATCAGACCACCATGCTTTAAAGTTAGAATTCAACAACAACACAAATTGCAGAAACCCTACAAACTCTTGGAAATTGAACAATGTAAAGAAATTAAAGACTTCCTAGAATGAAGACACAACATACCCAAACTTATGGGACACTTTGAAAACAGTACTAAGAGGAAAGTTCATAGCACTAAGTGCCCACATGAAGAAACTGGAGAAAAGTCACACTAGAAAATTAACAGCACAACTGAAAGCAAACTCACCACGGAGAAGTAGATGCCAGGAAATAATCAAATTGAGGGCCGAACTCAATAAAGTAGAAACAAAGAAAACAATACAAAGAATCAATGTAATAAAGAGTTGGTTCTTTGAAAAAATCAACAGGATAGACAAACCTTTATGCAAACTAAAAGGCAGAGAGAGAACATGCAAATTAACAAAATCAGAAACGAAAAGGGGGGACATAAGAGAATCTTCAGGTCATACTGTGAAAACAAGTACTCCACAAAAATTCAAAAATCTAAAGGAAATGGACGATTTTCTGGATACATATCATTTACCAAAATTAAATCAAGAACAGATAAGCAATTTAAACAGACCTGTAATCCCAAATGAAATAGAAGCAACTATGAAAAGTCTCCGAACCAAAAAAAAATCCCATGGCCACATGGTTTCAGTGCAGAATTCTACCAGAAATTCAAAGAAGAGCTAACACCAATACTCCTTAAATTGTTCTACACAATAGAAGCAGATGGTTCATTGCCAAACTCTTCTTACGAGGCTACAATTACCTTGGAAGCCAAGTCACACAAAGACACAACTAAGAAAGAGAACTACAGCCCAATCTTCCTCATGAATATTGATGAAAAAATACTCAATAAAATACTGGCAAATCGAATCTAAGAACACATCAGGGAAATCTCCACCATGATCAAGTAGGCTTCATCCCAGGGATGGAGGGATGGGTCAACCTAAGAAAATCTTAACAATTAATCACCATATAAACAAACTGAAAAAGAAAAACCACATGATCATCTCATTAGAACCTGAAAAAGCCTTTGACAAAACCCAACATCTCTTCATGATAAAGATCTTGGAGAGATCTGGGATAACAGGAACATACCTGAAAATAATAAAAGCAAAATACAGTAAACCAACAGCCAACATCAAACTAAATGAAGAGAAACTCAACATGATTCCTCTAAAATCAGGAACAAGACAAGACTGTCAACCCTCTCCATACCTCTTCAATATTGTACCTGAAGTTCTAGTTAGAGCAATAAGACAACAAAAGGACATCAAGGGGATACAAATTGGAGAGGAAGAAGTCAAACTTTCACTATTTGCAGATGATATAATTTACATGAGTGACCCGAAAAACTCTACCAGGGAACTCCTACAGCTGATTAACACCTTCAGCAAAGTGGCAGAATACAAGATTAACTAAAACAAAAAAATCAGTAGCCCTACTATATACAAATGACAAATGGACTGACAAAGAAATCAGAGAAACATCATTCTTTACAATAGCCACAAACAACATAAAATACCTTGGGATAACGCTAACCAAGCAAGTGAAAGACCTGTATAGCAAGAACTTTAAGTCTTTAAAGAAAGAAACTAAAGAAGATACCAGAAAATGGAAAAATCTCCCATGCTCTTGGATAGCTAGGATCAACATAGTAAAAATGGCAATCTTGCCAAAAGCAATCTACGGAGTCAATGCAATCCCCATCAAAATACCAGCACAATTCTTCACAGACCTTGAAAGAATAATACTCAACTATATATGGAAAAACAAAAGACCCAGGATAGGCAAAACAACCCTCCTGTACAATGAAGGGACTTCCGGAGGCATCACCATCCCTGTCTTCAAGCTCTATTATAGTACTATAGCCAGAAAAACAGCTTGGTATTGGCACAAAAATAGACAGGTAGACCAATGGAATCAAATTAAAAACGTTGATATTAACCCACACACCTACGAACACCTTATTTTTGACAAAGAAGCTAGAATTATACAATGGAAAAAAGAAAGCATCTTCAACAAATGGTGCTGGCATAACTGGATGCTGGTGTGTAGAAGACTGCTGATATCTATTGCCATGCATAAAACTTAAGTACAAATGAATCAAAGACCTCAACATAAATCCAGCCACACTGAACCTCTTAGAAGAGAAAGTGGGAAGTACCCTTGAGTGAATTGGTACAGGAGACTGCTTCCTGAATATATCACCAGTAGCACAGACAGTGAGGTCAACAATTAATAAATTGGATCTCCTGAAACTGAGAAGCTTCTGTAAGGCAAAGGACACAGTCAGCAAGATAAAAAGGCAACCCACAGAATGGGAAAAGATATTCACTATCCCCACATCTGACAGAGGGTTGATCTCCAAAATTTACAAAGAACTCAAGAAGCAAGTCTCCAAAACACCAAAGGATGCAATTAAAAAGTGGGCTACAGAACTAAATAGAGAATTCTCAATAGAGGAGTCTATAATGGCTGAAAGACACTTAAGAAAGTGCTCAACATCCTTAGCTATCAGGGAAATGCAAATCAAAACAACTCTGAGATACCATCTTGCCCCTGTCAGAATGGGTAAAATCAAAAACATCAATGACAGTTTATTCTGGAGAGGATGTGGAGAAAGGGGAACACTCCTCCACTGCTGGTGGGAGTGCAAACTTGTACAGCCTCTTTGGAAATCAGTTTGGAAGTTCCTCAGGAAAATGGAAATCAGTCTACCTTAAGACCCAGCAATTCCACTCTTAGGCATATACCCCAAAGATGCACATTCATACAATAAGGACATCTGTTCCACTATGTTTATAGCAGCATTATTTGTAATAAGCAGAACCTGGTAGAAACCTAGATGCCCCTCAACTGAAGAATAGATAAAGAAAATGTGGGACGTTTACACAATTGTTAAAAACAAAACAAAACAAAACAAAATAACGAAAACAACAAAACAATGGAATCTTGAAATTTGTGGACAAATAGATAGAACTAGAAGAAACCATCCTGAGTGAGGTAACTCAGTCACAAAAGGACAAACAAGGTATGTACTCACTCATATATGGATTTTAGACACAGAGAAAAGGATTACCAGCTTATAATCCACATCACCAGAGAAGCTAGGTAGTAAGGAGGACCCTAAGAGAGACATACATGGTTCCCTAGAGAAGGAGAAAGGGACAAGATCTCCTGAGCAAAGTCAGAGCATGGGGGGAAGGGAGAGGGAATTAAGAGAAAGAGAAAGGGAGAAGAGGAGGGGCAAAATGGACATGAGGGAGCAAGAAGATTGAGTCGTTGGGGGTGGGGGGATTACAGGAGAACAAGAAAAGAGGTACTGTAATAGAGGGAGCCATTATAGGTCTAAAGAGAAATCTGGTGCTAGGAAAATGTTCAGAGATCCACAAGGATGACCCCAACTAGGAACCTAAGCAATAGTGGAGAGGCTACCTTAAATGCCTTTCCCCTATAATGAGATTGATGGCTACCTTATATCCATGCTAGAGTCTTCATCCAGCAGCTGATGGAAGCAGAAGCAGAAACCCACAGCTAAACACTGAGCCGAACTCCTGGAATCCAGTTACAGAGAGGGAGGAGTGGAGTGATGAGCAAAGGGGCTAGAGAAACCCACAGAAATAGCTGACTTGAACAAGGGGGAACTCATGGACCCCAGACTGATAGTTGGGAAACCATCATAGGACCCACCCAGACCCCCTGAATGTGGGTGTCAGTTAGGAGGCCTGGGCAGTTTATGGGGCCTCCAGTAGTGGAACAGTATTTATCCCTAGTGTACAATGGACTTTGGGAGCCCATTCCACATAGAGGGATACTCTCTCAGCCTAGCCACATGGGGTAGGGCCTAGGCCTTGCCCCAAATGATGTGACAGACTTTGAAGATGCCCCATGGAAGGCCTCACCTTTCCTGGGGAGCAGAAAGAGGATGAGATAGGGAGTCAGTTGGGGTTAGGGGAGGTGGGGAGGGAGAGGGAACTAGGATTGATATATAAAACAAGATTGTTTCTAATTTAAACAAATAATTGCATAAAAAATGAATTATTACAATATAAAAAAAAGAAATAAGCCAAGGTTGGGCATTCATAGGAAAGAATAATTCTCCGTGTGATTATCTGGGAGCTGGGTAGCAGGCCCCCCATAGAGTAAAGAGTAAACAAAAAATAAAATCAAGCCAACTACATTAAAACATGTTTATATTTACTACTGTCAGACAATGTTTTATTTGGTTCTTGGGTAGAGTGCTAATTTCTAATAACTACAATCCTATTTTCTGTTTCCTTATGTAGAATCTCAATGCAATAGCCAATAGTTTTTTATTCAAAAAGTCAAAGAACGTTATTTTTATCTCCATTCTTTAATGTGCATTATTAAGTGCTGAGTTCTTCAAACCAGAAAGTTCTTAATTTGGGGGTTCTATGCAAATATCTATTGACATGGCCCTTCACAGAATAGTTCAATTTTCAGAGTAAGGAACTAGTTTAAAACCACAGCAACAGTAAGAACCAGAGTTATGTAGGTAATCGTATAGATTTAAACACTACTAAATTAAATATTATGAATGTATTTGAAGAATTACATTGATATAATGTAATGTCAGTCACATACTATATTTTGTACATATGATGAAAATGCTTAAGATATGGCTTCAGTTGAAATTCTTGAAGTACAAAGAAGCAGCAAATGTTTATTAGCGAGTGACCCAGAGTGTTTTGCTAGGTTCAATAAACTGGAACTACCCCTACTTATGATGGCATCTTTAGAAACAGGGAGGACATGAGCACTGTAACCACACAGTTCTGTACTACTCAGGGAAGCCTGAGTGGGATGCTCCATGGAAGACAGCTTTGTGGGTAAGTCTCATTACTTATTTTCCCTTGTTGTGTTCATCTCTATTAACACCTTAAAGATTTCAGCTAATCAGGGTCATAGTTCATTATAGCTTTATATTACAGTATTATAAGCCAAAAGAAACTTATTTTACCTACCTAGGCGATGAAATCCAAAGGTGAATCTTCTGGTTGGTGACTTTGAGGACAGCCACAAAGCAAGCAAAGTGAGTATGATGGCACTAAGGTCCGTTAGCATATGAAGCGCATCTGTCATAATTGCTAAGCTATTTGCGATGTATCCACCTGAGAGAAAGGGAAGGAAGATTAACTAAAAAATGTAAACAACCAAGCCTGAAATGTACAACATTCTGCAAAATACAATGTGAGATAAATTTCTATCCTGATACAGCTAAATCAAAGTATTCTGAAATTTCATGCAAATAGTATATATGTCATATCTTTCAATTTATATGGCAATGGTTCCAGAAACCCCTTTGGGTATCAAAATCTATTCCTGTTCAAGTATCTTATATAAAGTGGTATACTTGCATACAGCCTTACATATAAACCTACACATAGTTTATGTTATTTCTAGGTTACCAATACCATCTAATACAATGTAATCATTATACTGTACTATTTAGGGAAATAGTGTAAGAAGACAAGCCTGTACATATTCTATACAGACACATTATTTTTTTCAAATATTTTCCATCCATGAGTAGCTGAAACTATGGATATGGTACCTGCAGATATGCAACTTGTGGGTATGGAGGGTCCACTGCACAAATTTCTGGCAGTGTTGATTATTTCATAAAGTTAACCACTTATTTGGCAGTAAAAACAAAAGAGGGATGACAAGTTTTGCTCAACTTACTAGTTTTATGAATATAGTGAGGTAATGATTACATTATCTGAATACCACAACAAAGCAGGAAAAATATTTTCTTTTATTCAAGAAGGGTTGAACTGAAATGACATTGAAGAATTCTTTAAAGTGCATACTGGTTCAACAAAGGGTAAAAATTAGCTTTAGTTTATATTTTTGAATACAGATAACAACCTCTGAAGAGAGGAACAGAAAATGATATTTAGAAAATACATCGTAATCAATGGCATAGGATTAGTATGGTGTGTGTGTGTTAGAGCTTGAATGTCTCCACCACAACTCATATTGATGTTTCATCTTTATTATGAGGTATTAAGAGATTGGAATGGATCATTGGGAGATAATATTAAATGAGGACTCATGGGAAAGGCTTCAATTCAACAGGACTGTGACTTTACAGGAAGAAGAAATCTGAATGAGGAACATCTTTCTTATTATGTGACCCCCTCAATACTGCTTTAAGACTGAAAAGGATCTCAACAAATGTGGCCTCTAGGTCTTGAATTTCCTAGTCTTCAGAAACACAAGCTGAATAAACTTTTTTGCTTTATAAATAACTTAGTCTGTGGTGTTCAGTTATGGCAACATAAGAAAATATGTATTAGGGTTTGAAATCTGTGATTTCAGGTATCCATTAGGAATCTTGGAATATATCCACATGGGTAAGTGGGGGACAATCACACAAGTGTTGTGTGTATGTATGTACATTAACATACATACTTCTTTTTTCTCATATTGTTAATTTTATTCTATTCTGGGAGAGTAGAATAATAACTCATTTTCTTTTATTTTATTTCCCTAGATAGGGTCTTAGTATGTAGCTATGGCTGGTCTGGAACACACTATGTAGATTAAGGTGATCTTGAACTCAGAGATCTGCCTGCCTCTGCCCCCAAGCATTGAGGATATATAACATGCACCACTATGGCTGTCTCTCCTTTTCTAAATTTTCTATGAGTTTTTGTTTTATTGCTTGTATTCAAGTTTCTTTTAGGCTTTTATTGTTCAGCAGGGTTTTTTTTTTACCCTGAATTTCTTTTGTAGAACAACCTGTTCTTTTCTAGATACATGACCTTATCTCTGAGTATACTAATTATATGATTATAACTGGTTCTAAAAACAGGTTTTTCACTAGCTTTCCTTATTTTAGCCTTCCTTGTAAATATATTGAGGCACTTGGCATGGCCCAGTCTGGCATGCTTAGGATGCTCTAGTGCAGTAGTCTCATATGAGGGTCCTATGGGGGTAGCATTAGCAGTCCCTGGGTTCCAACAAAAACACAAGTGCTGGCCAGGCATAGTGGAACACAGTTTTAATAGCACTCAGGAAGTAAAGGCAGGTGCATCTCTGTGAGTGTGAAGCCAGACTGGTTTACATAGTGAGTTCCAGGCCAGTCAGGGCTACACAGTAGCAAGACTGTCTCAAAATACACACATGCATAATGCATATATGCTCTGGCCTTATCCCAAGCTTCTCTTATCAGAATTTCTGAAGGTGGGGACCAGTACTTTGAATTTTAACGGAGTTCTTTTCATGACTGTGATGTACAGCAAAGCCTGAGAACCACTACTGTAGTGTAACCTAGGTTGGTACTCAGCTGAAGTGTGGGCTTTCTTGAATGTAGTAAGTTTATTCTGTTTCTTTTCCAGTTGCCAAGATTTTTTGTTATTTTTCTCTTATTTAGTTTTTCCCATCTGTGTGGATTTATCTCTTCCCCCAGGAAGCCAAATCCCTTTAACTAAGTTAGAGATACTTTGCGATAGGGAAAAATTAAATACACCAGTTCTTTATATAAAAGTCAAATGTGTATATATTTATGTGTTTTTAGGTGCAATAAAAACTTGTAATATACTGATTTTCTGTTACCAAGTCCAATGGATATCTTAGTTTTCATCTAAGAAGATATCTATTTCCTCTTTGAAATACAGTAGTCCTCCTCACCCTATTCTGAGGCATGTATTCAAAGATCTTCACTGGACAGCTGGAATCTTGGATAGTATCAAATACTGTTCATATATTTTTCATACACATACTAACCTAAAATAAAGTTTAAATTCTTAGTTAGGCACAATAAGAACTAACACAGTAAAACTAATAATAAAACAGGACTGTTGTAACAATACACCATAAAAAGTTACATGTGGACACATTAGACAAAGGGATGATTTGTATTCAGGGCAAGATGGAGCAGGACTCCAAGATCCCACCTTAATACCTGCAACAGTGAGCAGCTTAAAAGATAGATTATTTAGTTCTTTCATTTTCCATTTAATGACTTTGGCTATGACAGTTGTCATCAAAACTGTAGAAAGTGACATCAATGGTAAGGGAGGGGGACTGATGTAGTTCATTTCCTTGGGTTCTCAGGTGATTCTGCCTATTCTGGGGACGTCATCTACTGTGCTGGACTGTCTTCTAAAGCACAGGCTTGTATCTAATAGCCCACCAGACATTTCTACTTGTCTGCATAAGCATGCAAATGAACACGTTCAGGTAGCTTTAGAGTCCATGCCCCAGTCTTGTTCTGCACCTCTTTCTACTTCATTAATGATGTTCCCCCTCCATCCAACTGGTGAATGAGACACTCAAGATCATTCCTCATCTGCTCTCTCCTCGATCCCCATGTCCAGATCAGTCAGTTCTGTTAACCTTTCCTGAGACTGTCTCTCCTGCGGTATATTTTCCTGCATCTACTCGGGTTTGTTTCTAGCAAGGATCTCTCTAAGTCTGCTCCCATTTTGCACCCCTGTAGGGGTGAGCCTACAATACTGTCTATGCCCAAAAGGGCGGGGACAGGGAGGGGGCACAGGTGGGATATTTAAGGAAAAATAAACATACTCTCTTTTGGAAGCCTGCAACGCTTCTGATCTTCCAGGTTGTGTGTAAGTTCTTTCTCCGGTAAATAAATATATTATTTTTCATATTGCATTGACCTCCCTCATTAGCTGGTGTCAGTGTAGCGCACATGCAGCCCTGGCCATCTAAGGGCATCACAGACTTGTTATTGCTCAGTCTCAGGTGGCTGAACGCCACTCACCCCCCTCCTTTCTTCACAGAACATCCACAGTAATCTTTAAAAAGTCACTCTCCTACATAAACTCCTTCACTGGCTTCCCATTGTACTCAGAACAAAAACTGCACTCATTCAATGTGGTCTATCAGGACTTGTTTATCTGGTCCTCCTGCTTCCTTCCTTTATGACTACTATACTCCAGTCACACCAGTCTTCTGTCAGTTTCTTAAAAGAACTGAAACCTTTGGGACCTTTGCACATGCTTGGATGATTCCTAATATCCTTTTTGTTGTTAGTTTTAAATGCTCCTATCCCATGCAAAAACTATATCCCATTGGGTAATATGTCTATTCTTTTTCTTCATAGAATTTAAGAATATCTGAATTTATAATTTAATCACCTGGCTATTTATTTAATGTTTGTCTTCTATATTAGGTCAAGAACTTAAGATAATAACAACAGTTTTGCTCTTCATTAGATAGCCAGAGCATGGAGGACAGTGCACACAAACTAACATGTAGGTGCTCACAAAAGATCTGTTGAATCGAAGGGAGGAAAGAACGGACCCTGTGTCTTGAGCAAGTCAGAGGCAAACCTAGATTCAAAACTGTCTCTTCTGGAATCTTTAAGCGATTTTTTATTGGTTCATACTTCCTACATAATATGATTTATTTCTAAGTTCTCTGGACATATTTTAACCAGCACTGCACTAGATCTACGTCTAGATAACATGCTGACTACTGCAGTTCCTATCATTTCTGTATTATTAACAAAGACTCTATATTCAGACATTAAGTCAGTTTTGGAAAGGAAGCACTTATTGTGGCTTTTGCAAAATGTTTCCCAAGTAAGAGACTCTGGAAATGAGAAGTCAGGACAATTAAATATCATTTTTTACATATAAATTAATTTTAAGGAAGAGAATTATGATTAACATGACTAACTTCAAATATTCAATATCAGCTTTAAAAACCACTAAGTCTGAATGTGAGCATTTCAGTTGCATGAGTTTGAGAAAGTCCCTAGAACTTAGTCTGCTGAAGTCAGAAGACCATGTTCTGACTACAGCTTACCATCTCTGCATTTCACAGTTTACACATTTATATTCTCTAACAGAGTTAACAATTCAGAGTGCTCGGCCCTAAATGGAACATCTGTATCACCTCCTCTGAGGCTCAGGGAACATGTGGAAGAGGGGGCGCAAAGGAGTTCAGAGCTGGTGGATGGGGAGACGTGGCACAAAGAGATGTCTTCTGTGTATGACATAGCTGTTGCACTCATGGAACTGCTGTCACCTGGTTCCTTAATAAGAACTGCAACAAGATTGGGCCTGTCAATGTTTCATCTGGGAAGAGAGAGGGTTTCACCTTTCCCTGAGGGACGACTGACAGCTAATTGTTTCTGGGGAAGAGGGTGTCACTTTCTTCAGTGGTGTACTCACTGATAAGTTGTCTATGCTTCATAAGTAACTTTTCTCCAATGCTCACACAAACAGCTCCCATTAAAGTCAATGAGTGTGTCACATATTCCCAAAAGACACAGAAGTGGGAGCCCTGTTGGGAAGAAAGTTTCCAGTGGGAAAGGGAGGGGGTATGTGTGTTTACAATGATGCATTATAAATAATATAAAAAAATCAAAGAATTTTAAAAATATAATTAAAAATTCAACAGAAGCTCAAGGCAGTCAGTTTGGATTTCAGCAAAGAAATATTAAACAAATAACAGGCATATAAAGAGTTAAAGTGGGAAAATTAGATGACAGAGGTTTATTCCAGATAGTCAAAAAACAAACAAACAAACAAACAAAAACAGGCTTTCAGCGGTGTCTTTTGAAAAGAGGTCTGACTAACACACTAGCCAAGGGATGATCTGGGGAAAGGCAGGATAAAAAGCTGAGGTCAGAGAGTGGAGAGACAGCCCAGTCCCCGCACCCACATCAGGAAGTTCACAACCACCTGTAACTCAGCTCCAGGGGATCTGACCTCAGCTCCAGGGGATCTGAAGCCTCTGCCTCTAGGCACCTGCACTCACTCATGTGCACACACTCATCCTCCCCACACAAACATGTAATTAAAATTAAGTGAACATTTTTGAAAAAGCTGGAAGTGGGCCACGAACCTAGTACAGTGGACTAAGAGATGACTGAAGACATTAGAACATAACATATAAAATTTGTTTGCTCTGCACATAGTTATACTCATATACCTAAGTTTGCATGTGAAGTATTTTTTTCTGACAGTGTATTTCATATTACAGTGAAGTCAATAAAAGTTTGAAAACCATTGGGGGATCAACTTGTTATGACTGCCATAAGGGCAGGAGAAAGGGAGCCCTGGGAAAACAAAGATTCTACGTGAGTTTGAACTGAGGAAGAAAGATACAGCGTGGGGCAGGGAACAAGCACGGTTCTTCTTCACCCAGCTTTCATCCACGCACTTTACTTCAGGGTGGCCAGGTCTCGTCTTGCCCTTGTAAGAGACAGCATGAGAGGACCCTCTCCCCTGTGAATGTCACTAAGAAGTTGCTAGTCAGTCCTCTCCATGTGTGAGTACTGCATTCATGGGTCCCATCTGTAATGGCAGGGAAACCTCTGAGAGAACACAACCGCCTCAGGACTCACCACGCACAGACTTGCTGTCTACACAATACAGAATGACAACTACTTACACAGCGCTTATTTTGTAGTCGAAGTAATTTCCAAATGATTTAAAGTACAGAAGGACGTGTATGTAGGTTATATGCAAATAACTGCTTCGTTTTATGTAAGGGACCTTTACATAAGGCGTCTTTGGATGAGACATCCTGAGATTCAGGTTTGTAGAGGGCACTCCTGGAACCAATTCACCTTGGATATGAAGGGGCGACTATAAAGTCATGTGACAGAAAAAAATAAGGTCTAAACTAAGAACCTTCAAGTGAGAAATTGTTATCTGAAATAATTACAAGTGAGAAAGAAAACAGGCCCTAGAAGGTGTGGAGGAGCCCTCTAGCTCACTTAGTCTCGTTGTAGCAATAAACTTTCAGTCAGCTGGCAGGACTGAAACCTGTAAAGGCCTGGGTTATAAGCCCAGAAGGAAACGGCATAAAGGATCAGACGAGCCCATGTAGAGAGAAAGGCAAGTCTAGTGCCGTGGACGGCTCATCCTCCCCATACGGTGGACTCCTGAGTTAAGGCTTTCGGAACCCCTGTGTGTGAAAACAGAAGGGTGTTGGGCAACGTCCCTTCCTAGCAGACAATTCCGACTCTGAGCAATGTTAGAACCATTTTACAAGTCCGGAGACGAGCATCTGTAAAAAGAGAAGTTACATGCTCACAAGCAGGACAGCGCCGTAAACCCTACAGTAAATGGCCCGCACACCGTTGGAGCTATGTGAGGACGCTCAGGGGACCGCACTTTGGAATCCCGCGGCCTTTTCATGTCCTGCGGGTGTCTCTCCACACCTAACACACTTCCTGAAAACAAAGTTTCGACCTCAGCTTGGGTGTAGCTCCCAGCTGGCCGGAGTCAGGGGAAAGCGAGGCGGCGGCGGCACTCACCTACGAGCTCTCCGACCATGAACAGCAAGTACAGGACGGCAGCAATGGTCAGCCGGGTCTTCACCTTCCTCTGCTTGAGCAGCTCGCGCCGACGGCTGCAGTTGTCACAGGGCTCCATCTTCAAACTCAGCTGACTGTTGGTCAAAGGTAAGTCCTGGTCCAATAAGGAGTCATCGTCGGCCTGGAGGGCCGGGTGCGCCCCGTTCACAGGCCTTTCCGGGGCTTCCGAGTCATCGTCGGCCACCACGACTCGAAGTTTATTAAAGCGCGAAAGCCCCTCGTCGGTCACCTCGTCCGAGAAGTCGAAGGCGCTGGTGTCATTTAAGAAGAGCGGCGCGTCGTCCTTCCTCAGCAAGGATTTGAGGCGCTTCCACGCGCCGGGGCCGGCCATGGCCGCGGAGAGCCGGCGGCTCCGCCTTCACCGGCGCTCGGGCTCCTCAGGGCAGCGCCGCGCGTCCCTGCCCATCGTGAGGAGAACGAGACCCGCTCCGATCGCCGCGCCCCGACCGCGCGCCGGCTCCCGGGCGCCTCAGGACCCTGCCGCGCTCAGCTACCCGCGGCCAGCCGCCGCCGCCGCGCATCCCCTCCCCGGCGGGCTCGCGCTGCTGCGTCCGGGGCCGGGGATCGAGGCCGAGCTCCAGCCGCTGCGCCCGCCCCGCGCCGCTCGGAGGCCGGTCGCGGGGTCTGACAGGCCCGGCCTCCTCCGGCCCCTGCGCCAGGCGGCGCGTGCGCCGGCCCGCGAGGCACGAGGGAGGGGTCGGCGCGGACACGCAGGCCGCGGCTCGGGGGCGCGCGGAGGGGGCGTGGCCGCGCGTCGCCCCCCGCCCCCGCTCCTCCCAGCCCCGCCCCTTCGCCTCACCGGTCCCGTGCGCTCCGAACCCTCGGGTGTGCCGCGGAAAGGTCCCTCCGGGCTGGGTGTCACTGCTCCATATTCCCTCCACTGGAGATGGGTCTTGGGAATGTCGGGTCCGATCTTGGTTATGGATGACCGGTGGAAAATGCCATGTAGTCTTTCTAAGTGGGATCCTTGGTAGGTTTTCTTTTACCAAACTGGCAAAATTTGCTGCTTAGCTTGGTCAAGGGGCTAGGACAAGACTGTGATGGTCAGTAGTTCTATGACTTGCCGTGTGTTTACTGTTTCTCAGCAAACGTGTTCCTTCTGTGTTGTCCAGGGCTACGCTCCTTGTGCAAAATTGTAAGCTTATTTTCCTTATCGTTTATCACATTCTCAAATTTCCTCAAGACACAAGATTAAAGATAACGGTCAGAAAAATTCATCTTAATGTGTAAATACCTGGCTTGTACTTTTCTTTTTTTCCCTTTGGGATTCCTGGCAAGTGCTCTACCTGTGGTGTCCTGTAAGCTCCTATTTGCCCGGTATTTTTTAAAACAGTCTTTATATCCTACCAAATTGCAAGTCACAAAAATACAATAAGAATCACATGAAACATTTGGTTCTGAAGATTCTGTTGACACCTCAGATCATGTATGAGAATACTTGGCTGTTTCTGTATTCCAGGGTGATTCCCCCCCCCTTTTCTAAGTTCCCACACATTTCCCCCAGAGTTGCAGTCATGACCACAAGTTAGGCAACCTGAATAAGGCACTCTATGGTCCCTAAATCAGGACTGAAGACTATTACCCAGAATTTCATCAATCAAGACACTCTGGTCGTAGCCAAAGGGAGAGAGCTTACTGGGCATTACTTTCCTCTGCTCCACTATCTTAGGAGTAGGTTGTTCTGTTGTTTTTAATGTCCTGTTTTACTGCCTGCAATATTTCAGGAGTGTCATCAAAGTCTCTTGAATACAACCTCGTGGATGGAGGAGTGTGAATGTAGGAGTGGGGATGTTTCAAGAATTGTTGAAATAGAAGTATGTGTTGTATGGGGACATTTACTGCAAGCTGTGTTGAGGGCTCCAGTTACGTATCCTGTTTTAGTTTTACTCTCGTCTAGATGGATTCTGGAGAAAGTGATGAGATGACAACAAACACTGTGTAGTGATTTTAAGCTATGTCTGTAAGTTCTGTGACAACCCCACTCAGGAGATACAGTTAAATTCCCTTCCCATTTGCTTTTGGGCTGCACTTAGTAAGGCACAGGACTTGTAATGAACGGAATATGGCAGAAGGGACTGTGACTTACAGACTAGGTCATAAAAGGCATTGTAGCTGCTTCCTCCTTTCACTCTTGGATCTCTCCCACTGTGAGGAGACAGCTACCACATCAAGGGGAACTTACCCGGCACCCTAGAAAGGCCTCTGAGAGGAGGAGTTTAGCCTCACCAACTGCCATGTGAGTGAACCATTAGGAGTGAACCCTCCAGCCCTAGGAAACCTTTTGGGTGCCTTCACCATGGACAACTGAAGCCTCGTGAGCCATCCTGGACCAGAACTACCCAGCCAGACCACTTGCAGATGATACAGAGAATGTGTGAGATAATGAATGTCTGCTATTTTAGGACACATTTTGGGGTAATATTTTTACAGTGATAGAGAATACAGTATATTTCAAATTTCTCCAGAACCTGAAAATACACCTATTCTTTTTTTTCCTTCTTACAATCACATGAAGTCTTTCTCCTACACCTGCTCTGGTACTAAGGACTTATATCATCATGCTTTCAAATAGGCCAAATAGACTTCTGTCCATAGGCATGGAATATAACCACACTTGCAGCCTTATTTCTCTGTGTTTGGTGCTTACAATAATAGACAAACTGTTGAAAGATGACTAACTCAGCAGCAAGGCCTATGATTCTGCTAGTGATCACTCAGCATGCATTCTTTTATATGAGGCTTTATGCTTTTTTCCTGGCTGGATGCTTTTTTGTTTGTAACATGAGAAATTTCACTAACAATTATCCTATCTTTCTATCAAGTAGCCTTTAATATGTAGATTGTTTAGGTAACTCCAGAGACTTTGCCAACACAGCTGAAAGAAACATAGCTGAGATAGACATAAATCTACGCCAAAACCTATTTTCTGGCCCAGGTGTCTCTTAGTAACAAAGCTAAACATTGTAAAAACAGCTAACATTTACTTAGGGCTTGTTTCTGTGCCAGGTGCTATGCAGGGACTGACTTATATTAATTCAGTTAGATATTAAACATTGTAAGGAAGAAGGTAGTGATTAGAAAAGTGGGTTTTGGAGTCACATTGCTTATCTTTGAATCCCGGCTTCCCCACTCTCCACCCTGGCAAACTAATATTCTTACGCTTGCCTATCAAATATAGGTGATTATAGTAACTACTTCATAGGGCTGTGGCAAAGACTAAAAAACATGTCAAACAAGACACATATTTTCTGGCATGTGGTAAGTGCTCAATCATTGATAGCTATTGTTTCCACATAGGCAAAGATTGCCAAGTGTTGTGGTCGGGATCAGACCGCTAGGAAACAGCAAGAACCCAATTGCGTGTGATTTCAGTGCTCAAACTCAGTCTTCCTTATTGTTGATTTTTTTTCTGTGAACAAATGGAACCACCTGAAGAAAAACATCTAGAGGCCTGCAAGTTTAGAGACCCTTATTTCATAGAATACCAAGAGCTATATAGATACCTGGGAAACTTCCTCCTTGGAAATAAGTTGGGGGTGGTGGATAAGCTTTTAAAAATTGAAACAGAGAGAGAGGCCACTTAGTCAACAGGTTAAGTACTGAAGGTTCTAGAATGCTTTTCTCTTCTCGGAGTGTGTGGCCACGGGATGTTCCCATAGGATGTGTTGAACTGTGTTTTCCTTTTCAGGACATGGATGCTGTTGGATGAACAGTGGTAACACTGTGATACCCAGCTAGTAATATATGTGCTTTCTTTGGGGGGATGTTCTAATAACAGAATGGACAGTTTCAATTTGAATCCTTCCCAAATGAGGAAACAGGAAGGTCCCACGATAGACAATAGAATTGTCCAAATATAGGAAAGGCTCCTCCTAGGATGGCTAGGAGATACAGGAGGATCACTAATTCAGGGCATCTGCCCAGTCAGGCAAATCTACCTGTAAGCTAGATCTGTAGGCAGTTGAGTTCATTGCTTAACACCTTTGGTTCTGTTTTCCTATAGTTCTAAAGCAAATATTGCTAAGGATTTCTCTATTCTTGCTGCAGTGGTGTTTAGGGGAATAAATAATAAGATGGGGGTTAAAGGTGTAAACATCCCACTGTGAAGTCTGGATGGTAGCGGCTGGCCTGGAAGTTTGAAGATGAAGGTAGAAGAGGGAGTGCTTCATCATAGATAAGAGCTACCTGGGAACTTGGAAGATCAGGTGCGGCTTCTTAATTTGCTGCCCCATTCTCTGTGACCTCCTAGCTGCACACTATTGCTGAGCTAGTTTCTTGTCTGTGAAAGGTAGGAAATGACATTTTTCCTACCCACTTTATAGGGGCCCTGTAGAATCAAAATAGATAGCCTGCTGACTTTACTCCAGGGATTTTAGACAGCAAGGCACCAGAATTAAGTTGGAAGACAAGGGATGCACACTGCTGATTGTCAAGAGCCTAGCCTAAACTGTCTTTGTATCCATGGCACCTAACATCACACGTATAATAGGAGCCCTAGAAATACTTATGGATTTAGTCATAAAAATATTTTAATCACAGAGCATCCACCCCCTCTAACATAAATGGCTAGCTAGCTGTTTAAAAAGCAAACATGGAAAGCCATTCCTAAGAAAAATTTCAAAGCCTGGTGTGACTGAGCCATTATAGTACAGGGAAGATTGAGGCAGGAGGAATGCCATGAGTTTGAGACCATCCTGTCCTGGACAATCAGGATCCTGTCTCAAAAAAAAAAAAAAAAAAAGAAAGAAAGAAAGAAAGAGAGAAAAAGAAAGAAAGAAAGGAAGGAAGAAGTAACAAGAACAAGCGAAAAGGTGAGTTTTAGCGGTGATCTGTGTTCCTCATGATGATAAGTGAGCACTAACTCACTAATAGTTTATAGTGACCTTTGGTGACTTTAAACAATAGGCCTTTGTATAAACTCACTCCAGAGTTTATTGGGAGGATTATTTAGATTAAAATCTGCCAAGTGCTTCAAGCTTTTCTCAGAATCCATTTATAAATAAAAATGGCATTAATTTTTTTAATCTCAAAAAAGTGTGTTCATTCTGGTCCAGCCAGAATGAAATAAAGCAAATTCACCTGCTGCTGAATTGCTTGTGTTCCCTAAAGAAAAACAAAACAAAACCCAAGATTAAAACCAAGCCTAAATTACCTTTAATGGCTTTAAGCAGACTACAGGAGCACACTCGACTGAGCAGGAATTACTACCTTAACCACAAAGAGTTTGGTGTATAATTTATACTACACAAACCTCATAGCCATCACAGCAGATGATAATTATATATAAACTCTGTAATTACTGTAGCTATTCTACACCAAGGAGAAAGATTTACTATCCTCTTTGTTATTTATATTTTAATAATTTATATTCTGTTCACTTACAAATAAGATGAAAGGCAGCCTTCCCTTTAGTACAATGTAAATGCTAAAATTTTTTCCCGTTATCAAATACTGTTTAATCTTCCTTGTATGCACAGAAACCCATAGACACTAGTTAGAGATGGAAGCCAGCTATCAGAAGTGAGTTCCAAAGGCTGGCCGACCTCCTTGAGAACCCCTGCTCTTTAGCCACCCAGCTATCTTCTGGTCAGAATCCTGTCCCTGGTGACCTGCCCACCTCAGGCAGGGTATCTCCAC